CTCTCTCTCTCTCTCTCTCTCTCTCTCTCTCTCTCTCTCTCTCTCTCCTTCCTAACTGCAGAGGCAATGTGACCATATGCAGCAAGTATCAGTCCTCATACCTTCCCCACCGTGAGAAATGCATCCCCCTCTGACTGAGAGCCAGATAAATCCTCCCTCCTTGATTTTGTTGATTTGTAAGCATTTTGTCACAACAAGGAGAAAAGAAGCTCAGACAGAAACCTGCTTTAATTAGAAAGCAGAGGCATGCTCCCCCCCCCCCCGGGGGGGGGGGGCTCATGGCTTCCTCAGAGTACCATATGATGTGGGGGTGGGGGGGGTGTGCTTGTGTCTTTTCAGCATGCAGGTGCCCAGCGTCCAGAAGAGGGCATCAGCTCCCCTGGGACTGGGATACAGGCAGTTGTGAGCTACCTGATGTAGGTACTGGGAATTGTACTCTGGTCTTCTGAAAAAGCAGCAAGTGCTCTTCACTGCTGAGCCATTTCTCCAGCCAGCATAACAGCACTTTTTTAAAACTGGAATTTATTGGGTTGTTGGTTCCTAATGTTTCACAGGCCTCAGGGTGTTTAAAATATAAAACCTCGAAGACCTGTCCTCGAGATAAAACCTCGAAGATACCGCTGTCCTATTCATTTATTGAACAGACTGTAGAGCCAGGCTCCAAAGGCTCCTTGTGTGAAGCATAAAAGAAAAGTCTGTATTAAACAACAGTTGAAAATAGGTCTGAAACACAGACCCAGAAAGCCAGCCCAGGAAGCTGACACAAAGTCCCTGGGGCAGTTTCCACCAGTGGACTCAACTGTGGTGCTTGAATACCATTCCATCCTTTGGGTGCTTCTGCTTTGAAGGAGGGTCAATAATTCTGACAGGCACACCTTCCTGAGAAGAGTGTGGTCACTGCAACCAATTGGCCTCATTATGATGCTGTTTCTGACAAACCACCATAACACAGTGGCCAGGGTTTGGACCAGCAGCTGTCCTGCATACGGATATGCTGGATACTGCTCAGCTAGGCTGGGGTGCAGCTGACCTCACACATCACTCTGCACACATTCTGCAGGGCTTTCTTGGAACAAGGGGAAATATACTTCAGAAGAACAGATAAGAAAGTGTGTGAGCCACACCCATAAGGTCTCAGCAACATGACTGCCTAAACATGAACTGAACAATGATGGTCGTGCCAAAGAAGACAGGAAAAATCATGAGGCTTCAAACCTACTCAAAAAACTATAGATATAAAGCTGAGAGTGGGAGAAACAGTCTTCCCCAAGGAAGTCCGTACCAACTGGTTATCTAACACCAAACGGTCTGCCCTGAAAACATCCATACAAGTAACATCATACAGACCAAGCAGCTTATATTTAGGAGTGTGTGTGTGTCTGTGTGTCTGTGTGTCTGTGTGTCTGTGTGTCTGTGTGT